CCTCCCCTCCCCTCCCTCCCTCCCTTCCTTCCTTGTGTCATATTCATTGTATGAGGCTGATGTATCCAGAGTTGGAAACCTACAGTCCTCAGTCCTATTCCATAAGCCCCGGCAAACCATTTGTGGCTCTGGCAAAAAAGAGTCAGCTGGGTCAGGAGAACGAGAGAAAAGCAACAGCACTGCCCATTTTTGGCTTTGGGGAATGTGGTCCTTGAGTGAAAAATGATTCTTCTGCTCCAACTCTAAATGAAGATGCTCCCTGCGATCTGATCACAGCCAAATCAACAGGGATTTGCTTCTGCCGTTCAAATGGAAACATTTCTAAATCAGTAATGGGCAAACCAAGATTGCCCTGTGGACCCTGGAGGCCTAACATGGGCGCACAGTTTTCTCCCCTTGTCCACATTTGCAGCTGCTGAAGGTAGCTAAGCCTGAGAATAAGCTCCAGCAGGAAGATTCTGAAATCGATCCTAGATCCCTCTTACAGTGGTTTCTGTAGTGGCTATGGAAAACTTTGCTAGTAAACAGCATTATGTTCTAATGCTCATTAGAACATAAATTCTAATGAGTAAAGAAATAAAATTGCCAGAATCTAAATGTATATTGTAACTCTTTTTTATTTACTCCTGAGTCATACTTCCTGACTAGGTGGCAGTACCCAGGTGACCTTGGCTGATATTAAAAGCTAAGCAGGGTCAGTCCTGGTTAGTACTTGGATGGGAGACCATAAAGAAATCCCAGGGCTGTGAGCTAGACTGGGAAGTAAAATAAAAATAAAAAAAAAATCCCAGAAGGCAAATCCGAATCCATATAGGTTGCTAACCTGTCGGACATGTTCATAAAGTCACTTTATATCTTCATGGCTACTAGAAGAAAGATTCAGGCTGAACATTAGGAGGAATTTGATGATGATAACAGCTGTTAAGTAGTGAAACTGTCCATATAGTGGTGAATTCTTCCTTGCTGGAGTTTTTCAAGTGGGAGCTGGATGGCTAACTGTCAGGGATGGTTTAGTGGATCCCTGCATTGAATGGGGATGGATTAGATGACCTGTGAGGTCTTTTGCAACTTGTACATTCTGTAATAGTAATTTCAGGGTTAATTACCTCTGTTCAGCATCCTTACCTTACCTGTACCCTGGATAGTTCCTTATTCCAGTTCATGAGCCCTTGCCATATGGCAGTGTTGTCCAAACTTGGCCACTTTAAGATGAGTGGACTTCAACTCCCAGAATTCCCCAGCCCATGCTGGCTGAGGAATTCTGGGAGTTGAAGCCCACTCATCTTAAAGTGGCCAAGTTTGGACAGTTTGTACACTCATTTGAGACTGAATTAAGACAGCTTCTGCCATTCCCAGCAGCAGGGGAGGTTGCGTGCCGTTGTGGCAGGCATTACATCATATGGCAGTGTTGTCCAAACTTGGCCACTTTAAGATGAGTGGGCTTCAACTCCCAGAATTCCTCAGCCAGCATGGGCTGGGGAATTCTGGGAGTTGAAGTCCACTCATCTTAAAGTGGCCAAGTTTGGACAACACTGCCATATGATGTAATGCCTGCCACAACTAGAGAAAAGGTTTTCTCTGGGTGGCACGCTCTTGTGGAATCCTTTCTCCAGAAAGTTTCAGTGCTAATTCTGGCTCTCTTTCTTTCAATGCACATGCCCACATACGTACACCTACAGGCACGCAAACTCCCCTGCTGCTGGGAATGGCAGAAGCTGTCTTAATTCAGTCTCAAATGAGTGTACAAACTCTACATTTTACTGCCGAAATTAACCCCCGTGCTATGAATGGGGTCAATGAATCATACTGCAGGCCATGGATGCCAGGGTGGGCAGGGAAATTACTGATCAGTTTAGGATGTATAAATGAAGGGCTTCTTCACACAGTACCCAATTAATTCCTGCAATTCACCACTACCAGTAGCAAACTTAGATGCTTTTCCAGAGATAGGTGTATTGGTCTACAGTGATCTTTGCTTCCAACCAATTGGCTAGAGGTCAAAGAATTTATCATCCAAGATGTTGACATAAAACACCAGCTTGGAGAAGGCTGGATTAGATGTTTTGCCAGAAAAAAAAGGTTTACCAAAGAGAATTTGCCATCAAACCTAAGGAGAATCCTCTATGTCTATGTGTAAAGGCAGGAATACTAGACTTAAACATCAGATACCTGTGAACTCCCTATTTGTAAGGCGCTGGACAAAGTTGATGTTCATACATACAAATATATTGTTAACGGTTCTGAGCATAAGGAAAGTGACAGCCACAAATAAAAATTTTTGAACACAAACTACTACATCTATGCTTGAAAGTCACCAGGAATTTTAAAAGGCCAGTTCTTATATACATATGGCTATTTATTTGAAGTATTTATCATATTCTAGCCTTTGTTTTTCTGCTGAAAGAGTAAGATTTGGGGAAATGAACCCACACTGTATGCGTTAAAAAAAATAATATCATGATGAAGTCCCACTAGAACAAGCTGTTCACAAGTCCAAATTCCAGGCCTTCTTTGAGTGGGGTAAAATCTTAATTTCTGCTTTCTCTCCTACAAGCTGCCTGTTGGTTATATCTATCTGGCAGTAAAATAAAGGCTAGCTCATACATTGCTCCCTTAGTCAGATTGTCCTACAGATATCCATACTCCGGGTGCAATGTATGGAGATCGGTGTTGGGTTTGCACAGAGAAAAAATTCAGAGTCCTGTAAGATCAGGTAGAAGGGTAAATCCAAAGCAGAAGGCAGGCCCTTAATATGTAACCATATTGTTACCAGAGTTCCTATGTAGTTATCATATAATATGTCATGTATTTATATGAAGTTATGAATGAACATATATAACA